ATTTATTAGATAATAGTCAATGTAGAACTATATACTTGCATTTGATTTCATCATAGGATGAGGTTCATAAGCTTAATAATTCCAAAACTTTTGGATAACGCTCTTTTCTAATGTCTTTTTAATGTTTATTTATAATATTTTAATCTTCTTTAGTGACTGATGCCAAATGAGAATTTTGATTGAACAAGCATCCTTAATTGTAATAGGATGATATATTGCAATCTAAGTGGCAAATAACATATCAAAGTTGAAGAATTGCAATATACACAACAAGTGATATATCAAGGTTAAAAAGATTAATATACTCCTTCTTAAGTTAGTGAATTGCTACAATACAAAGATTGTTTAAGATATCTGAAAAGGGAAATAAAGATCAAAAAAGGAAATACAATAAAAAGTAATGAAAATACAAAAATGATAGAAGTAAAGATAGAAACAAACAAACAAAGTAAAACAAAAAGTAAAAGGAATGAAAGAAAATCGAAAGAGTTCAAAACAAGGGAAAAAGTTTCAAAATTACATTGTATTGCAACAAACCCATACTAAACATGAGATCCAAAACTTAACTTAACACCACGTACAATGATTGAATTTCAAAGTTGATATCACCTATATGCACAACTAGGTCTGTTTCATCTTATGTATATGCATATATACACTTATTGCTAGAAAGAATTAAAACTGGCTCTATTACACAATACAAATATAAACAATAATATGTGGCAATAGAATAACTAATAAAAGATAAACTCAATCTCATATCAACCACCATAGAAGAATAATCTGTTCAAATTCCTCACCCATTCCAAGAAGAGCTACCTCGGCAAGAGTTTTGGTGGGTACTGGGTGGCCCATACCTGCAAACTGATAAGAATAAAGCTTGAGGCATTCAAGGAACTAAGACAGACTCTCATGTGGCTCACACTTGGCCTAGTTCAACTTCCCCTAAAGTCCAACTTTGCTGATGAAGGACTTCTCAAGGTAGAGTTTCTTGAGCTAGTCCCAAGCCTCCACCACAGAATCAGTGCGAGCAATTGTTGCCTTATCACCTTATTCCAGCCAGCGCATGATCAAAGATTTTGCCTGTGCCTCGTGAACTTTGAAAACCTTCAGTTCTTCTTGTGAGAGTTGATCTCACCCTCTGCTGCTTCAGCCAGTGGTGGGGAGGGCAGGGCTTGTTCAAATCTGCATTGACAATATCCCAGAGCAACCCACCATCCTTGCTGTGAAGCTTGAATTCCACTTCTCAAAACCAGATGAAGACATTATCCATTGATAGCTTAGAGATGGATTGCCTGAGCTTGAGATCTTCAGTGGCCATCTTTAAATGTTGAGAGAGAAAGAGATAAAAACAAGCTTAAAAATCAATATTTTTTCTAGAGTGTCTGCAATTTTTAATATATATTTCCTCCATCAACTGATGTTTCAAAACTCTTGTCCAAAGCAAATTCTCTTATATTTATGACTGAGGCATTTTACATCTTGATGTCTCAATTGGATTACACCACATTTTCACAATTGTTTATCATTCAGAGATAGATGGTTTGGTGGAATACTTTTCTTTTATAATAAAACCTCAATAAATTGTCTATAAAATTGCTTTTTTAAGTTTACATATGATTATAATGATGTATACTATTATTAGTGTAGTGGGATTTTAGTAGCCATTAATTTGGTTTTCAATTCTAGACTATTTGCTCCTGCATATGAGATAAAGTTCTGGGCTAATTGAATACCATAACCAATATACAATTTTAATATATTACTCAAATAATAAATTTATAAACTAAATATATTATATAAACATGTATAGTAAACCTGTAAGATATATTGAAGCAATAAAAACATATGAATAACTTTAATATTGATTACAATGCAAAATAATTATAATAAAACAACAACAGATAACAAAATTATAAACAAGTACAAACAAACATAAAAACAAAAAAGCATTGCTGCTTGGCATCAGTACAACAAATTAATACATACTTTTAAACAAGGTTAACATTACTCAATATTAAGTCATTGGATAGAGGATTAGTTGAGTCATTAATTGGTATATCATTTGGAATTTATTTATAACTATAAAGGACAAAAAATGTTTCTAAGACAGGTCATTAATATATGTTTAATAGTAACTTTATTTCTAGGGTTAGTGTAACGCGAAACGAGCGGAACCGGGATTTCTGTGGTGGAGTTCAGAGTGGACCAATCGGCGGAGCTTGGCCAGCAGCTGGAATTCACTGTGGTGGCAATTGCTTGAGTTTGCAAGGAAGAAATATGGAATAACAAGAGAGAGAGGAAGAGAAAGACTCTAACCTTCTGTTCATCCGGCAATTTTGCCCTCTGATCTTTTCTAGATTTTTTTTGTATATATGCATGTGGAAGTGAAAAATGTTATGTACCTAGATGAGAATATTAAGTGTCCTTTTCATATTTCTTGCAGTGAAGATCTTGCAATAGAACTGCGAACATGTGCAATAAAAAGGAATTTAGCATTGGGCAGACAAATTCATGCATATATATGTAATAGCCATCTCATAGCACACAGCACTTTCCTTGGAAATCTTTTAGTCGATATGTATGGAAAGTGTGGCAGTCCCAAGGAAGCCATGGCTGCATTTGAAAAAATCCAGCACAAGAACGTCTACTCATGGAACATCTTGACTGCCGCATTTACCTCCAACGGGCACTTGCTCAAAGCGCGAGAGGTATTTGATCAAAACCCCCACAAGAACCATGTTTCCTGGACCGCGATGGTGGCAGCCTATACCCAATCCGGCCAGATCGACGACGCCAAGGCTATGTTCGATTCAATGCCCGTGAAGACAGTCTCGTCCTGGAACGCGATGATCACGAGCTATGCCGCAACTGGAGATCTCCGATCAGCAAGGGAAATGTTTGATTCGATGCCGGTGCGAGACATAGTCTCCTGGAACGCGATAATCACAGCATACTCCAGTACCAGTAGCTTCGCTTGCGCAAAATATCTTTTTGATAGAGCTCCAGAGCGCGATCTTGTGACCTGGACAGGGATGCTAGCGGCATTTGCCCGATCAGGGCAAATGCTGGAGGCACAGGATTTCTTCGATAAAATGCCCGACGTGAATTTGGTGGGATGGACGTGTTTGATCGCCGGGTACGCCGACGCTGGCCAGGAGCTAGAGGCGATACGAGCATTCAACAGGATGGATCAAAGTGGATGCCGCGCGGATCATATGGCGTTTGTCACGGTGATCGACGCTTGCGCCAAGATTGGAGCTCTGGGAGAAGGTACGGCAATCCACGGCGATGTGGCCCATCTGGGCCTGGCCACGGACGTGGTGCTGGGCACGGCGTTGGTCACCTTGTACGGACGGTGCTCCATGGTTGAGCGAGCGCTCGAAGTCTTTGCTGGGATCGCCCAGAGGAGCGTCGTCTCGTGGTCGGCTATGATCTCGGCCTTGGCGCAGAATAACCGAGGGGAGGACGCGATCAAGTTCTTCCGGGTGATGGAGATCGAAGGCATGCAGCCCAACGAGATCACGCTCGCCAGCGTCTTCGATGCCTGCTCCAGCGTCCCGGATCTCACTCTGGGACAGCTCCTCCACGCGGAGCTCTCGCCGGAGGAGCTCCACACCAACGTTGTCCTCGCCACCGCCGTGATCACCATGTACGGCAAAGCTGGCGGGCTAGAGCTGGCGAGGCAAGCGTTCGAGAGCTCCCCAGTCGCGAGAACCGACGTTGTCTCGTGGACTTCCATGATCACCGCCTACGCCCGGAACGGATTCCCAGCAAGAGCCACGGAGCTCCTCCGAGAGATGCTGCTCCACGGCGTGAGACCAAACGAGATCACGCTCGTCAGCCTTCTCTCCATCTCCAGCCACTCGGGGAAGCTCGGCGATGGATCCGACTACTTCCAGCTGCTGCTCCACGACTTCGGCATCACCCCGGCTCTGGAGCACTACGTCTGTATGGTGGATCTGCTGGGACGCTCGGGCCGGATCAAGGAAGCCGAGGATCTCATCGTCAACATGCCGTTCGAGCCTCACTCGGTGCCGTGGATGGCGCTCCTCAGCTCGTGTAGACTCCATGGCGATACTTCACGCCGGAGGCTGCGAGAGAGAACCGCTAGCGAGCTCGTTAAGCTGTCGAGTCGGGACGACGCTGCTCCATACGCGCTGCTGAACGCTACCAGGTGATTGAAGATCTCTCGTCTGTAGAGTTCTTCAAGATCTCGATTCGATTGTTTTAATTAGATTAAACTATATTGCCCTAAAAACAGGGCATTGGCATATACCCGTCTCGGGCATTCTTCCGCGCGGCGGCCATGGCGATGGCGCTCCTTCCAATGTCGCCCTGCCGAGGAGCGATGCGCGAGATTCGTCACGGCTTCCACTGCCGCAGATGTGTGACCGTGGCGGCGTCTTCATCCCAGCCGAGTGTCGCGGCGGATCCACGGCGAGCTGTGGTGAGCAGTGGAGCTGGGGACAAGCTGGAGATTTGCCGCGTCGTGAATGGTATGTGGCAGACGAGCGGGGGTTGGGGAAGAATCGAGTCCAATGCGGCTGTCGACGCCATGCTTCGACATTTCGACGCGGGGCTCAACACTTTCGATCTAGCTGATATTTGTAAGTTTGATTTCTACTTTTTTTTTTTATGGTTTGATCGATTTCTTGTCGCTGTAGATGGACCAGCGGAGGAACTGTATGGCGTCTTCATCAACCGATTGAGGCGTGAGCGAGGCGAGGAGGCAGCGATTCAAGCTAGAGGGTATTTCTGAAGTAGAATTCTGTATTTTCTTGCATGCTTACGAATCCTTTTCATGCAGCTTGACCAAATGGGTGCCTTCTCCCGTGAAGATTACCAGACAGTTTGTTGAGTCGAGCATCGATCGCTCACGAAAGCGAATGGACGTCAAATGCCTCGACATGCTGCAGTTTCATTGGTAGAGTCTCTCTGGTAGACCTTGTCAGCTCTTCTGTCGATCTATAAATTCTTCTCGTTTTGTATCTTAGGTGGGAATACTCGAATCCTGGCTATCTGGATGCGCTCAAGCACTTGACGGATCTCAAAGAAGAAGGTACCCGCTTGTTACAGGTGCTCTTTCTAAGATATTGATAGAGAGCTGTAGGGAAGATCAAAACTTTGGCTCTCACGAACTTTGACACGAAGCGATTGGAAATAATTGTCAACAAGGACATCCCGATCGTTTCAAATCAGGTAAGCAACCTCAGATACTTGGGCTGATGCTCTAAAACAAATCTATTTCCAGGTCCAACATTCTCTGGTGGACATGAGACCTCAAAAACACATGAAGGATGTGTGCGAGCAAAGTGGTGTAAAGCTTATCACATACGGGACTGTCATGGGAGGGCTGCTCTCGGAAAAGTTTGTCGACGCAAACGTTTCAATACCTTTTGCAGGCCCCGCTCTCGATACACCTTCTCTAAAAAAATACAAACAGGTATATACATGTTTATCACTTCTCGAGTATCTCAACTTCGTTCATGCTTAGATGGTGAATGCCTGGGGAGGCTGGGATCTATTCCAAGAGCTCTTAAAAACTTGCCAACAAGTTGCTATGAAGCATGGAGTTTCAATCTCCACTGTTGCTGTGCGCTATATACTCGACCAAGTAAGTAACGGTTGTGCAAGTTTGGTGCCTTTTTCTTACGATACTTTTGTGCTACTAGCCTTGCGTTGCAGGCTCCATGGTTGGTGTGCGACTCGGCATTTCCGAGCACCTAAAAGATTCGGAAGCCATCTTCCAACTCAAGCTAGATGAGGACGACGTGGACAGAATTGGATCAGTGATAAGCAGGGGAAAGGACTTGATGGCCGTCATTGGAGATTGTGGTGATGAGTATAGACGAGCTTAGATTGAGATCAAGTTCGCAATGGGTTAGATGGACTGCCGCCAGTCTGAAGAAAAAGGATTGCTCCTTCTCGACAAACGCCATGAATCCAAAAGAGAGGACAGTCACAACTACGTGAGACTTCTCAAGGCGTACAGGGACAGTAAAGACTTAGTAAAAGGCCGGGTTGTTCACGATCAAATCTCTCGCAGCCAGCACTACAGGGACAGGCTCCTACTTAATCTCCTCGTAGAGATGTATGGGAAGTGTGGCAGCGTAGTCGAAGCACGCAAAGTGTTCGAGAGCATCGACCGCCCCAATGTCTACTCCTGGAACATCATGACCAACGCTTATGCCCAGAACGGGTATCTCTTCCAGGCCAGAAGGATGTTTGACACAATGCCGGAGAGGGACTGCGTTTCCTGGAACTCCATAGTGACAGCGTATGCTCAGGCCGGGTATATGGACGAAGCTTGCTACCTGTTCGAGAAGATGCCAGCCCGGGACCGTGTATCGTGGAACACTCTAATCGCCGCCAATGCTCAAAGTGGTCACTTCAAGGAGGCCTTGGGCTTGTTCAGAAGGATGGACTTGGACGGTGTTGCTCCTGACGAGTTCACTTTCATCAGTGTTCTGGATGCCTGCTCGAGCCTGGTAGATGTGGAAACAGGCCGAATGATCCACGAGAGCGCTGTGGAGACTGGTTACGTTTCAAGCTTAGTGGTGGGAAGCTCCCTTGTCAACATGTATGGAAAGTGTGGTCGAGCGAAGGCCGCGGAATTCATCTTCTGGAAAATGCCTAGGCGCAACATAGTTTCCTGGACTGCGATGATCTCCGCTTACTCGAGCAACGGGCACTGGTCGCAAGCTATCACTCTCTTCAGCAAGATGGATCTGGAAGGCGTCGAGCTGGGCAAGGTGACTTTCGTTGCTGCTCTCGACGCTTGTGGATCGGGTGCGGCTCTCGAGACAGGCAGATTGATCCATAGCAGCATCGAAGATAGAAACGACGTCTCTCAGACCGAGGTGGTGCTGGGAACTTGCATCATCGACATGTACGGAAAATGCAAGAGTCCCAGAGAAGCAAGGCTCGTCTTTGACAAGATGCCCGAGAAGAACGTCATAACTTGGACAGCCATGATCGCCGGCTACGCTCAAAACGGCCACGGCAAGGAAGGAGTGGCCTTGTACCGAGCAATGGACCTCCACGGCGAGCAGCCAAACTTCATAACTTTCGTCAGCGCCCTCGACGCCTGTTCCTTGATTCCATCCATAGCGAGCGGGAGGATCATCCACGAGGGAATCCCGAGTGAGCTGCAGCGATCCAACGTCATCGTCTCGACCGCCATCGTCACCATGTACGCGAGATGCGGCAGCATGGACGACGCCAGGAGAGTCTTCGACTGGATGGAGCAGCGAACAGCAGTCTCGTGGAACGCGATGGTGGCCGGCTACACTCAAAACGGCCGAGGTCTGGAAGCTTTCGAGGTGGCGGAGCTCATGGACGTGGAAGGGATCCCAAAGAACGACATCACTTTCAGCATGCTTCTCGCCGCTTGCAGCCGCTCGGGCCTCGTCAGTAGAGGCCGGGACTACTTCGTGTCGATGATGGAGGATTATGCCATCCAGCCAAACGTGGAACTCTTTTCCAGCATGGTCGACGTTCTAGCTCGGGGAGGAAGACTCTTCGAGGCTCAAGAGCTGGTGACGAGCATGCCGTTTGAGCCGAACGATCTGGCCTGGGCGACGCTGCTAGGAGCCTGTGTGACCTTCCAAGATCCTTGGAGGAGCGAACAGGCGAAAGATCTTTTTCGATCATCAGGTGGTAGCGTTGACCAGCGCGAATGGAGCAGCGTCGTCTCGACTGGACAGCTTCACGAGCTCGCTAGCGGTTCTCCTCCGGCGTGAAGTGCCGCTATGGAGTCTACACAAGCTGAGGAGCGACATCCACAGCACCGACTGAGGCTTGAACAGGATGTTGGCGATGAGATCCTCGGGTTCCTTGATCTGGCCCGAGCGTCCCAGCAGATCCGTCTTATCCATTGCCGAGCTTCCCTGAGTGGCTGGAGATGGAGAGACGCCGTGGAGCAGCATTTCGCAGAGGAGCTCCGTGGCTCTTGCCGGGAATCCATTCCGGGCGTAGGCGGTGGTCCACGAGACAACGTCGGTTCTCGCGACTGGGGAGCTCTCGAACGCTTGCCTCGTCAGCTATAGCCCGCCAGCTTTGCCGTACGTGGTGATCATGGCGGTGGTGAGGACAACGTTGGTGTGGAGTATGGGAAAACACCAGATCACCACATCAGCGATCCTCCACATCCATAGCTAGCTATATAACGATGTAACCGACACGCTATGAAGTTAACTGAGCAAAATTCTTGGGTTGAAAACAATCCAATGGCCAATCCGAACTAGCCCAGAAGACCACTGACAGACGAGGAGGAGAGCTTGCAAGTAGAGCGCTGGATCCCAGAGTGCAAGTGGCGGGATGAGTGCCCTATGTGGCCAGTAGGAAAGACCAGTCTCCACCACCACCTCATTACTAGATCTCTTCTAGATTTTAACAATATTTGAAAAGAGCAACAATGAGGGTGCTTGGCTCTAATCCACCTCCACCTCATTCCCCACCTCCTGCAAAGCTAAGCTTGATGGTTGGGACAAATTCATGGGAACACAACTCATCCTCCTTGTTAAGGATTGTGGGGGTATCGTGGACGGAATAGAGCCTGCACTTCAACCATGGGAGAGTCGCAATCACCTGCTCCAGGTCGAGCTTTGTAGCCAGGGTTAAGAGCAAACAAATGGTAGTGACTGTTACCACTGGTTTTGGTGCATGAATTTATGCTTTATGTTCCACCATGCTGAGAAAACTGAGCTCCTCCAGTGAGAGTTCCACCATGGAGGAGCTTTCCCAGAGCTGGGATGCTGGTGCAAATGCATTTTGTAGGGTTGCATTCCTTCGATCTCCAGAACCTAATTGCGTCCTAAGGCCAAGACCATGCTTCTCTTGGCGCTTCCTTTGCTCAACCATGGAGCACCGTCCTTACAAGGTGACCAGTGCTGTGTACCCATGGTTGGTCCCGACCGCGTTCGGCCGAAATCTCGACCGCTGCCAAATGCAGTCAGACAGCTCCGTTCAGTGAAAAAAATGGTGATCACGCTCACAGGGGCTAGATTTCTGATGCTGCTGTGGCTATTGCCATCACCACTGCATCTCCACTGCTTTGCTGTTCTCCTGCTGCTATGGAGCGATCCATCCATCCACGAATGCCCAGCCTAGCAAGCCTACATAGAATCCGACGAAGAGGGCTATAGCCTATAGGAGCTGCGTGCGTACTGAGCTCTACAGGGCGAAACTCTCCAGTCGGTCAGCCTCTACTTTCGATTGAGCGTGGAGCAGCTCACTAAGGTCTCACAAATTGCCCAGTCTGTGACACTTATAATTTTTGCCCTAAAATGGAAATTACAATTCTAGTGATTTCAGAGATTTGATTCTAACAATTATAGCAATTCTGGCACAATTGAGCAATGGTGCCCGATTGAGCATGGTCCCATGTTACCAAGCTCACTCCTTATGCTTCCGGCAAAGGAGCTAGGCATTGGAAATGTAATTATTGTGAAAAAATGTATGGCAGTCTACCGAAATGAATCAAGGTGCATCTTGCAAAAATTTCTAGGTATGATATTGAAGCATGTAATGCTTTAAACATTCTTTTTCATGTTCAAACTAAGCTTACTGAATGTTTGTGGAGCAAATCATAAATGCCCTTTTGTCTTTACCTTCTATAGCAAATCTACAAAGTATGCATTTGATGGGGCATTTGCTTCTGGAGTTGGTACACAAAGTGTTAATCAATCTCAGCCTATGAATGCTTCTATAGGCTATGAGGGATCATTTGCTTTGGTTTTCCTATTTTTATTAATGTGGTTTTATTAAAAATGTTTTTTTTTTATCAAAAAAATTTGTGGACTGTTCGGCCATTTGGCATTTTCACAATTGGTCAATAACCACGGTTGGCTGGTCGGCCAATCGGCATTCGGAACGGTTAGGACCAACCATGTGTGTACCTAGCACCACTAGGCCAAGATGGGCCACATCATTATGGATTGCCATACATTCTTCAAGAGCTCCAATCTTCGCACAAGCAACAAACTCTATATGATCGGTGCAATGTCTAGCTCCTACCCAGCATCGGCATAGCTGATGATCAAACACATCCTCCCACTAAATTTATGTTGGGCGGACTGGCTCTATCAAGGAAGCATTTTGCGCAACCGAAGCTACTAGTATTGGAGTATTGTGATTAATTTCTTACAGCAGCATCAAATCAAACATTTCTCTTGCCAATAGAATATCTCCAGTTGCAGCATAGCCAGTGATAATCATGTGACAGTCTTCACAGGCATTGACAAACATTGCCTTGTCATCATGAATCTGGCCATATAGCATGTAGATTGCCGTTGAAAAGTTGGAGCTCACCAGTTGAACTAAAATTTAAAATGTAGTTTAATACAAATATTACAAAGTTTTATAAATTAAGGTTTATAGTGAATCTAGCTATGAAATATAAATTATTTTATTTTAATAAAAATGAGATTCCTTATCTAAAACATTAAATATTTATTATGTGCTAAAATAGGTAAGTTTATAAATTTACATTTGTGAGGTCAAGTGTACGGTACGATGCCGTATGCTAATATTAATATAGTGGGACTTGGTAGCTGTCAGATTGGTTTCAATCTAGACCACTCACTTTGTATATAACCTAAATTTTTTGGGCTAATTAATATGCACATTTTTTGTATTCCCTTTTTATATTCCATGCACTTACATTGGTGGAGATGAAAAACACTTTTGATTATCCTTGAGGAATGCTTGGATTAGGATTATATTTAGATCTAGCTTTTGTATTGTCTAGATTTAGTTTTTTCCATTTCCTTTTTTTTGTTCTTTTCTTTGGGGATTTTGGTTTAGATTTAACTTTTGCATTGTTTAAATCTCCCTTTCCTTCTAGCTTTTTCCATTTCTTTTCTTTTTTCCTTTTCATTCATCTTCATAGCAGAGCAGCAGTTTCCTCCTTTGACTTTAGAGCAACAGTTAATGTAATTGTTTGATGCTATGCAATTGCAATTGAATAACCAAACTAGTACCATAGTAGCATTCATGGCACGTGGTATAACTCCTTTTGGTCTTAGTGTCAATCTTCACATTCAGCTGGAGTTTTTTGGTTGGAATCTTAGGGATGATATGTACTATAGGTTTGATCACTTCACAATGATTGCCACTGATCATTCTTAAGATGATGCTCGACATTTACGTGAGTTTCCTATATATCTCCAAGGGATGGTGCTACAATGGTACAATGGTTTGAGTGTAGTCACTGATGGGGATTGGAGTATTCTCCCGGACGTTTTAAAACATGCATTCAGACATGCTGATGATTGTGATGATGCCTTTTAACAATTGCATCATCGTCATCAAGGGCTATTAGAGTCAGTGATGCAATTTGGTGTTCGTTTCCGAAACCTCTTGCTTCATGCGGAGTTAAATATGTTAGAGCGGATCAAGCTGGGATGTGGCCAACACTTTATCAAGATCTTGTAGGACTTGTGCATGCACTTACTGTAACCACCCTTGATAATGCCTTTTGCTTAGCACAACTTTATGAGACATTGCCTCTTTCACTTCTTGCTACACATCCTTTAGCTCTATTTCTTATGGGAGATGGTCTTGTTCCAATAAAGGTTAATGTTGTTGCTGCTCAAGTTCAAGGACAAGGGCAAAGACGTGGTCATGGCCATGATATTCACTACTGGGTATATAATGAAGTTAGTCACACTTATCGGTGTTGTTCGCATTTTCCATATTAATAGCCTCCATTTCTTGGGTGAAGACCTTGGCGTCAACAATGTCTTGTTGGTGCTACTGTAGTGGAAGGTCTGGACACCGAAATACATCTAGGAAATGAGGAATCAAGCAAGTAATAAAGGGACCTTGTGCGAATAAGTCAGTGACCCCTTCATCTTTCTTTCAGGAGTATTATCAAGTGGTTCACTCGGCACCAGTTCATTTAGTGTTTACTTTCCAAGCTCATTTTTATAACAAGAAGACTCCTATTATTTTCTCTGTGTTGGTTGATACAGGTTTGAGTTTATCTTCTATTGCTCGACCTATTACCACACGTTACTATCTACATTTGCGTCATGCGGTGGAGCCAATTTTCATTTTTTATGGCAACAGTCGTACATATACATATGCACGGAATGAAGCAAACTTTGTTGTGCATGTGGGCAATCTTGAGCTTGGGTTGTGGTCATTGTGGGTGATGCTCAGTCAAACTTTTGACCTCATCTTTAGTATGGATTGGTTGTAACAAAATCATGCCAAGTATGATTTTGAAGCTTCTCCCCTTTGTCTTATACTTCCTTATATTTTATTCATTCCTCTCAATTCCGTACTTTTTTGTCCCTCTACTTCTACTTTTGCTTCCATTTTGTTTGTCTCCCCATTACTTTCTCTTATGTTTTCGTCTTGTTCCTCTCTCCCCTTTTCCAATCCTTATGACAGTCTTTGTGTTGTAATGGTTGATTGACTTATGAAGGAGTATGCCGATTTCTTTGAATTTAATTTATTGTCTGGGGCCAAGATTGCCACCCATCATTTGATTCCAACTAGGGATGCTCGTTTAATCAAGGTTCATCGTTGCTCAGCCAAAGAGATCAAGATTTTACATGCAAATATCAAAATAATGTTAGAAAAGGGTTTTATTTGAAAGTCGTGGAGTCCTTGGGCATGTCTGGTCTGCAGAGATAACAGAGATGGCCTCATCTTATTACGAAATCTGATGGGAGTATTCATTTCTGCATTAACTATTGTCCGTGAAATGAAGTGACGATTTTTGATATATACCCTCTTCTTCACACTATTGATTTCTTAAATTGTTTGGGGAGAAGTTACTAGTTCACCAAGCTAGATTTTGCTTTTGGGTACTAACATGTACCTATAGTCGAAGAAGATATTCCTAAGATTGATTTTCATACATCATTTGTTTTGTACAAGTTTTTGGTGATGCTATTTAGTTTGAACAATGCTCTAGCAATTTTTCAGCGAATGATAGATGAGGTTCTTTGCGATATGCTGGAGGTGACTGTTGACTTCATTGATGATGTCTTGATCCACTTGGAGAGGACGTGGGTTGTGATGTTCGTAAAGTGTTGGATCGGTTATTGGTTTAAAACTGAAGTGGTCGAAGTGCGTGTTAAGGTCTAACGATATAACTTATCTTGGGTACTGTGCTTCTTGTGAGGGTTTATAAGTTGATTTTGACAAACTTGTGGCTGTTCTAAAGTTCTCTACTCCGAAGTGTGTGAATGATGTGTAATGCTTCTTAGACAAGGTGCAATA